CGCCGCTCCCCGGGGGCCGCGGGTTCGAGGCTGCGGAGCGACCCCTGCCCGTGGGCACGGCGGGGAGTGGGGGAATGGCCAGGGAGGGGATGGGGGAACATTGGCATAACCCAAACAATAGGGGAACGGCCCGGGAAGGGGATGGGGATTATCGGGATAACACCAGCAACAGGGGAATGGCCAGAGAGGGGATGGGGATCATCGGGGATAGCCCCAGCAATAGGGGAATGGCCCGGGAAGGGGATGGGGAACATCGGGATAACCCAAACAATAGGGGAATGGCCAGGGACAGGATGGGGGACCACTGGGGATAACCCAACCCCAGCAATGCCACCCTGTGCATCCCTGGCAGCGTTGTCCAAACGCTCCTGCAGCTCTGGCAGCCTTGGGGTGGCTTTGGGGAGAGCCTGGGCAGTGCCCAGCACCCTCTGGGAGAAAAACCTTTCCCTAAATCCAACCTAAACCCCCCTGGGCACAGCTCCAGCCATTCCCTTAGATCCTGTCCGTGGTCACAGAGATTGGAGCTGCCCCTTCAATGCCCTGCAGACTTTGTTAAGTCTCCCCTCAGTCTCCTCCTGACCCTCCTGTGCAGCCGAGACAGGCCTGGCAGGGCTCCCAAAGCCTCCCGGTGCTGGGTGCATCCTCTGGGACAAAGGGCAGAGTGCAAGGGCCTCGTGGCCGTGCCCTGGCCAGGCTCATCCGTGTTGGAGGTGTTTTGGGAGCTGGCAGGAGCCAAGCTGCTGCTCCAGGTCACTGGTGAATGGCCCTGTCCCATTTCATTGTCCATTCAGCTAAAAGTGCTGCTTTTGTGTAATTTGCAAAAAATCATCTCCAATCAAGTTCCTCAGGCTCAAAGTATCTGCCCCAGTTTGGGCTTAAACTTGTCACCTGGGGGACTTGGCACACCAGGAAAGAAAGGGAAGAAGAACCTGGAAAAATGGCTTATATGTTTAATCACATAACATCCAAGGAACACGTGTGGAGTTAGATCAGTTCTCCTGAATTCTGCTGGAAGAAATGTGCTGCCTGCAAGGTCCTGTCTGCCCCAGATCTGGCCAAATCCTTAAGGCACAGTGGGAACGTTCCTCTGAGGTTGGAAAAGCCCTCCCAGACCATCGAGTCCAAGCTGTGTCCAGTCCCCACTTTGTCACCAGCCCAGAGCACTGAGTGCCACATGCAGGTGACACCTGCAGGGATGGGGACTCCAGACCTCCCTGGGCAGCCCCTTCCAGAGCCTGACCACCTTTTCCATGAAGAAATTCCTGCTGATGTGCAAGCTGAACCTTCCCTGGTGGGACATTATCACAGAATCATGGAATATCCTGAGCTGGAAGGGACATCCCAAGGATCATCCTGTCCAACTCCTGGCCCTGCACAGGACACCCCAACAATCCCAATCTGGGCCTTTATGTCCCAGTGTCAAAGGGTGACATCAGCAGGAGCTGTCTCCATATCACAGCTGATCCCTCAACTGCCACCAGAAGTGAAAAGAAAATGAAAAGTGATCCAGGCAGTTCCTTCCAGCCTGAGGGCGTGCATTTCCCACCGCTGCCTCCCTACATTGCGCGCGTGTCCTCGCAGACGGTCTCTATCACAGACGACTTGTGGGTGCTCTCAGCTTCTGGGCTCTCCTCAGCCACCTTCAGCTGCCTCCTGAAGTGGGAGAACACCCTCCTCAGCGAGGAGAACAGCTCCTTGCTCCGCAGGGCGTAAATGATGGGGTTCACCATGGAGTTGAGCAGGCAGAGGGTGCTGCAGAAGGCGAACACCTTGCGCAGGTGGTCGCTCAGCCTGGCGAAGACGCTGTAGATCATGAGCACCAGCACGGGCGACCAGCAGAGCATGAGGACAGCCAGCACCATCACCAGGGTCTTGGCCAGCATCACGTCCATCCTCATCCGGGTGTTTTGCTTCCCTACCTGTGCCTGGTGCTTCTCCATGTAGGCCACGTGCTGGCGAGCCCTCCAGAGCACATGGGCGTAGGCGTAGATGATGCAGCCCAGCAGGACCACGACGAAGCAGATCCAGCCCGCCAGGTAATTGTCATCCACGAAGGGGAATAGCTCGGAGCAGGTGGAATCCAGAGCGCAGCAGTTCCAGCCCAGCAGGGGCAGGCAAGCAATGGTGGCACAGGTCACCCAGAGCACCGCCAGGGCTGTCCAGGCTCTTTTCCTGGTCATCAGGAGCTTGTATTCCGAGGGCCGGCTGATGGAGATGTAGCGGTCCAGGGCTGTGAGCAGCAGGCTGCTGAGGGAGGCGGAGAAGGACGTGTTCACCCCTCCCAGCTGCAGCAGGAACACCTCCTTGGAAAAACCAGCCTCGTTGAACACGTGGAAGTTCACAAAGCTGCAGACAAAGATGATGCTGGCCAGGATGTCAGCCAGGGCCAGGCTGCCTATGAAGAGGTAGGAAGGCTTTTTCCTGGTGCTGGGGGAAGAGAAGATCAGGTAGAGCACCAAGGAGTTCTCAAAAACGCACATTGTCCCAAAGAGGCCACACAGGATGCCAATGCTTATCTTCTGTGCCTGTGTGCTGAGCACCATGAAGCACTCCATGGTGTTCCCGCTGCACTTGGAGGTGTTTGCAGGTATCCTGCAAGTATCCATGGTGTTACCTGGAGCTGGGAGCTCACAGAGAGCCTTCTGCTGCCTCCTGCACTTCTTCAGATGCTCTGAAAAAGGTGGAGGTGAAGAGGTCTTAACAAGCAAAAAATTCAACCCAGACACTTCCATCTCTTTAGAGGGAAGCAAGCAAAATGAAATCAGCCTACACAGAGCTACTTTCAGGTCCACAGCCCAAATGCTGGAGCCAACTTCCATGCTCTCCCAGCTGAGCTCCAGGCTTTGTCCCACTGGCTGTCTGGCACATTTCCCACAGCCTCAATCTCCCAGGCTGGTTCCTCACCACGAGAGGGAAGCAGCAACGGTGAGAATTGTACAAATCCTAAGGCAGCTCTTATCACTCCTCCAGGATTCACTGCTCAGGGCCAGCAGCACGGGAAGGGACTGCTCATGGGGAGTGCTGTGGGCAGAGACAGAACAGCCTGTCCCATTGAAGCTGCCCTGGGAGATGGTTTGGATGAGAAGGATGGGAGATATTTCCCTGCCAGGGACTCGATGCAGCTCATCTGGGAACACAAAGTGCACTCTGAAGGATTTACTCCTCACCAAAGCTGTTTGAACATATAAAACAACATGACCACTTATATTTAAGCTTGCCCATTGGAGCTTTACAAAGCTCACTGCAGATGTGTTTCCTCCTCCATCTTCCATGTGCCACGGTCAGAGTGATTAACAGATTTTATTAGAGATTAATTAGAGATCAATATTGGCATACAAATGGGGACATGCAGGACTGAGACCACCTGAGCCTAAGATCCCCTGTCCTAATAGTAATAATAATCCAGGATTAGGATAATTTCATCAGTACTTTTAGCATTAGCAGAGGTGTGATGGAGGGAAATGCCTGATTTTCCATAGGGCAGATGCTGAGCTGCTCAGTGCACCCTGCAGCAAGAGCTGGGGTTTTCTCTACAGCTCAATGCATTTAACCCCCTTCATCTTCATAACTTGTCTTTCAGGTGTTATTTTCTCCCATTCTTTTTGTGGATTGCACTGGTGTTTAAACCAAGTTGTGCTGCCTTGGGTTTCAGGGAACAAGGTTAGAGAGCAGGTGAAAAGGCAGCTCTGGAATACCCCAAACCTGCCTGAATTACAGCAAAAATGCTGTGCCCAAGCTCATGGAACAGGACCCCCCTTCCCAAAAGCTTCCAGGATCCCTCATCCAGGCAATGGGATCAAGAGTTCCCTGTGCTGGAGGAGAGCACTGAGCTGACAGAGTTCCCTTCCCCCAGAACAAACAAGTCATGGTCCCTCCCTGCCCTCACTCTCTGGTGAAAGGGAAATGTCCCAAAGCCACGAGCCATGGCCAGGGTGAGTGATAGGCACAGAGCAGGGGTTCCAGCCACCTGTACCCCTCCAGCTGTGCCTCCCCTGCCTGCTGTGTGACATTCAGGTGACAGCAGCCAGCATTGCCCAACAAACCTCTGTCATCCCAGCAGTGACACGTTTTATATCTGCATTGGGGACTTCCTTCCCCACTGATTTCCCCCGACACTCATCACCCTTCCTGTGTTTCAGGAGTTGCAAAATGACCCGAGAGGCTGCCCAGGAGGTGACAGAGAAGAGCCCCAGCCCCACATTTCACTCCTGCTGCCTGTCAGGGTGAGGACATCAGTGGCCTCAGGGAGTTCAGTGCAGGTTACAGGCAGAGCAGGGCAATTCTCATTGGGATTTCTTGGCATTCCAGGCTGGAGGATCCTGGATTTTGGGCTGGTGTGTGGCTGAGTGTTGCAGCAAGCTGCCCTCCTCTTACATCAGGCTCTTGCACGGGCTAACAGCACAGGACCAGGACGTTGCCCTCAGATATCAGCGCTCTCGTTTCCTGCAGCCCTTTACAGGAACACCACGCAGGCAGCAGGAATTACCAGCTGCTGTTATTAAACCTGACAACATCCCTCCCTCTGGAGACAGATGGATTTAGCAGACAGATGGACTTTTCATATAGCAGAGCTCACCAGGGACCACTAGAGCAGCAACTGCCTCAAGTCTCCAAACCTTTCCAGCCAAACCCCAGCATCCAAACCAAGACATCTCTTCATTAAGCAGTCTCCAGCATCACCTTGGTATCCATTACCTGCAGCTAGCATCCCCAGGACCATCATAAATCCTCAAACCTGCAGCTGTGCAATATCCAACAAACATCCTTAGGAGCCTGGGAACCACTGAACACCAGGCAAGGGAGTGAAGACAGCAAAATGCCATCCCTGATATTATGCTGCTTGGGGAGAAAATGTGCCTATAATGTTAAAATAACTCCTGTGCTGCCTGTCCTGGCCCAGCTCTCTCCACTAAGTTGAAACAACTCAGCTAAGCCTCAAGTTCAAAGTCCTGTGTGGGGCTCACAGCGATCAGCCAGCCCTGATCTTCCTTTCCCACGTCAGTTGTGTCTCAGGCTGAATGACAAGGACAGATCTCTTTGCTCCCCCAGACCCTCCTTGCAGCTCCTGCGTCCATGAGGGAGAGCACAGGGCTTTGCTACAGCAAAAGGTCTCTTCTGCATGAGCATGAAAACACAGGCAGATCCAACAGCTCTTCTCCTTGCACCGCCTGCCCCTCATTTTTTTGGCTTTTTTGGCCACAAAGCTGCTTTTTCCTGCCCAGAGGACATTTTCCTCTTGTTGGATGAGCCCCTAGATTAGTTTGTCCATGCCCTCTGCTCCCTGCCTGGCTTAGCTCCTGGGGAAAATGCCAGCCCATAGCTGGTTCCTGGGGGAGAGCTGACCTGCAGCATCCTCCATGGGACAAGTCCTGCTTCCAGGGTGGGAACATCTCCACCTCCCTGGGAATTCCAGCCCCAGGCACGGCCGTGCATCTCCCCACAACCAGCCTGGCAAGCCCAGGGAGTCTCAGCCCCATGGGCTCAGCTCAACAAGAAAGAGCCAAGTGGCTTCTGGCTCTCCTTTAGATCCAGGGGCTGTGGCACAGAGGGCCTGGTTCCCTGGAAGTGCAGCAGCTGAGCCGAGATTCCCTGGGCTTCAGCACAGGATTAACTCTCTGATCACAGCACGGCATCTCCTGCCAGCAGGAAGGCCCAGGCTAGGGAATATTTTACCAAAATAATGTCCTTGCAATACAGAACTCCTCCAGCAACAAGAGCAGAGCCCCAGGAAACAACATAGTGAATGAATGAGGAGTTATTAGGAACAGAATCCAGATAAAATACTTGGGAATGCAATCCTGATACAGCCTCAGTGATTGTAAAGTGCCCAGAGCAGCAGAGAAACCTCCCCTCCCATTAGATCTGCTTCGAGCCCACTCACTCCAGCCTAATAACTCCAACTGGCTTCGGGGGAAATTAAATTTACAAACGAAAAAGTCCTTTTCCTTCTCAGTGCCTCGCTGCGATTGATTCCAGCTGTCGGGCTGGCGGTGCCTCGCACGCAGCAGCTCCATTCCTGCTTCCATTGGGATGGGCTCTGCATTCACAGAGCCATCACAGCACCCTGCTGATTAAAAAAAGTTACGTACCAGTTGCTTAGATAATGTAAAATTAAATTTTCCTGCTGCAATCAGCCAGTGCATTGTGCCTGCAGCGCTCTGAAAAGCGCTGCTCTTGAATATTTCATGTTCAGAATATCTGAGAGCGTTGAGTTTTACGATATAATAAAATGTCTTAAATGATCACCTACTATGAACAAGTGCGGTGATTTATGCAAAAATTGTCACTAATGCTTGCAAATTTCACTTGCTGAAGAAGCAAAGTATCTTTTGCTTTACAAACATTTTAGTTTATATGTGATTTCTTAGTTTAGTTGCAGAAGTTTTTCCATTATTTTGGAATTAGCTGTTCACAGTTTGTCCTGCTGACCATGTTAAATAACACCGAGAGGAATTCCCTCCCTGATGTAGGACCTGTCTGCCTCAAATGAGGATTATTTGATTATTTATTATCAGAGTCCAGCTCTGCCCATGAGTGACCAGGACGGGGTGGGTGCAGAGCAGCTGCAAGTGCCAGTTTGGGTACAAAGGAGGGCAAAACAGAGCAGCTTTCACTGCACCAAAACCATCACAAACTCTGAACTCAGCATCACATCTCGTGAGACATTTGGGAGTGCCTCTGACACAGAGAATCTGGGAATGCTTTGGGTTGGAAGGGACCTTAAAGCCCATCCAGTGCCATCATCCCATCAAACCCCATCCAACCTGGCTTTAGGCACTTCCAGGAATGGGGCAGCCACAGCTGCTTTGGGCAACCTGTACCAGGGCCTCCCCACCCTCACAGGGAAGAATTTCTTGGAACCCATAACCCTTGTCCTGTCACTCCAGCTCCTGATGAACTGATCCAACATTAACCCCCAAAATCAGCTGTAAAGAGTTAACCCACAGCCTGCTGTGGAGCACTTACCTTTCACCTTCTCCTTAAGAAAGAATCCATCCTAAAAACCGATTTCCCACCCTCTGTTAGACATTGCCTTGCAGTTTATCCCGAATAGCTGACAGTCAATCCTGGGAATCTCCCCGTGCAGCAGAGTCTCCCCAGCCTGCCTTGTGCATGACAGCACCGAGGGCTCTCAGTGTGATCCAGTGTGAAAAAAGAGCTGCAGGATGCTGTGGGTCAGCAAACACAAACCACTCACCTCCCCACGGTTGTTCCGGGGCTTCCCATCCCTCCGGCTCTCAGGGCACTTGGTGCAGCTGTGGACAGCGCCTGCTTCCCTCTCCTCTCACAGCACTTCTGGTTTCGCCTGGGTTTGTTGAACCATTCTGGTTTATTCCCCTGGGTTGAAAATCCATCAGTGTGAATCCTTCCTCTGCTTCCTTGTTCTCTGTCACACTCTTTTGGAGAACATGTGTCGGGTTTTCTTTCCTTCCTCCCTTCTCCTCTGGGTGTTGTGTTCTGCTGCCTGCTCGTGCCACATCTACAACCACCCAAACCCTCCGGCTCGCTGAAACAATCCTCCCAGTCCCTATCATTTCTCCATGTAACTGCAGAGTTTGAGGCAAGAGACATTCAGGTTCTCCTCCTGATATCCCTGGGAGCATGGGAAAGTATGGGGAGGAAAAATGCTAGGAGGCAGACGTGGAAAAATCTGGATGTACCCGGCTGTGTGCAGGTCTAAGGGCAAGCTCAGAAATCTGCTGTGCGTGCCTGCAGCTCCTCGAGCAGCACAAACCTCACCTGTGTCCCTGAATTCCTCTGTGCACAGGAACGAGGTGATTTTCTCTCTGCAGGTGGAAGGGAAATGGCTTAAGGTCTTCAATTACACAATTTCTGTGGTCAGGAGGGGCCCGGGGCTGCAGAGGTTGTGGTTGCTGCTGTACCTGCTCTCATCCATCCTTCCTCCAGTGACCACTTCCCCCTCGGCTGGGCAGCAGCTGCCTGGGGCTGGCTTGTGCTGGCAAGCGGGGACAGCTGCCGAGGGACACCAGGGACAACCGGGGAGAGGCAAATTCGCCCCAAATCCCAGAGGAATTGGCCACATTGTGTTTGGGTGTAGGCCATACGGGCTGTAGTGGGGAGCCTTGGAAGTGAAGGAATACCTGGAGGTCCTTTTTGTCCTGAAGCTGAGGAAAGTGATCTTTAGCTCTTGGATGTTCCTTACCTGGCTCTGCCACCCCCAGAGCGACCCCACAGCCCCATCCCAGCACCAGCAACTCGATTCTCCGGCTGGGAACTCAACTTTCCCTCCCAGTTGCCTCATTCGGTGGAATCACGAGCAGTTACATCCCGTCCTCTCCAAAATGCTGCTTTGCCTCCTTCCCCCTGGCCACCGTTTGCGGCTCGGGGCTCAGCGGTGCTCGGCTGCCCTCTCCAGGGAAACCCGGGCAGAGGCCGGGGAAAGCTTGAGAAAGAGGCAGAACTGGGAACTCAGCGCTTCCCCCTGGCCCCGGCTGGGGAAAAGGGGTTCCTTGGCTCTGCAGGGACCTGCCCGACCCTTTCGAGGTCTGAAATCCACAATAAGGATGAGAGGCATCACGGGCTCTGCTGTAAGCACAGGAGATGATGGGCTGTCAGCTGTCTCAAAAAAAAATAATTCTTCCATTCCCGTTCCCAGGAACTGAGAAATTTGCAGGAACAGGTATGAGACTGTAAAGAGCAGGTGAGAATCAGAAAGGTTCTTTATACTGGTCCTGAGTTCCAACAGCAGCACCCAGCTCCAAAATATTCCCTGCTCTGACTCAGCCTCACACCCAGCAGCATCCTGTGAAATATAGATCTCAGTTTCCTCTGTCTGCAGAGGGAACTGTTGTATCACAGTTAGTGTGTGTTATAGGAAAGAAATCTTATTATCGCAGCATGGTTAGAAGCTTTTATTTTGACTCTGATTTACAGCAAAAATTCTCCTGCCAGACTAAAGGACAACCATTACAGCCGATTCCTGTAACGTAACGGCATTTTGGTCAGCTTGGATTTTTTCCCCTGGCATCAGCTGCTGTTAATCCAGCCTGGAATAACCCTGCTTTGGGAACACCCCCATACCCAGGGTGGAAGAAACGCTGTGCAGGCACTGGGGAAAGGGACTGTGAGCCTGGTGTTGTCTGGCAGTGGTGTCTCTGTCTCCAGAGCAGAGTGAAGAGCCCCGGGATGTGCTGGGACACAGAGCATGTGATGGGACACTCAGACACGCAGGAAAGGTGTCTGTGCTCTGTGGGAACTCAGGGATTTGCTCCTTTCTCTGCCTGTTGTGTTTGCTGGGGCTGAATTTGAAAACTGGGTGGCACAGACGGGGCTGAGGATGGGGGCACTGCTCACCTTGATAAGGTGTGACTCAGAGAGCTCGTGACTGACTCTACTGCACCCTTAGAGAAAATGCTCAGAAAAACCCCAGATTTATTGCTGTGTCTAGCACAGCTCCTGAGAGCAAACAGGGCTTGTCCCAGAGCCTCTCCTGTGCCCTGGCCTGCTGCAGAAACCTCTGCTGCTCTTGTGGAGGGAGGAGGGTTCAGGTAAAAATGGTTTCCCTGCTGCCAGGATGTGAACGAGGCACATTGATTTAAATGGGTTGAAGGTTCCTGCAGGGTTCTGTGACTCAGCCGCTGTGGGTTCCAAAGGGGAGCTGTTGAGGCAGAAAACAGGGAGTGACTTGGGAGTGGTGCCTGCACGTGTTTGTTTTCCAGAGTGGGGCTGTCAGCTGTGACAAAGCTGCTTCAGCATAAGCTCTTTAAACTCCCAGGCTCAGGGTTTGGATAACTGATCTGTCGGTGTCGGGGGTGTTCTTACTCCTAGTGCTGTGCACACCCCCACACACCGGCACACAATGCAGTGGTGGATGTGATCTCACACTCACGAGCTCCAGCAGCGCACAGGAAGGAACTCGTGTTCTGGAGCTGATGTAACTCAGGTGCTGGTGGACACAATCCATGTCTAAAGCTTATATCAATATGCTTATAAGGAGATTTAAGCAATTAAAGTGTGTAGTTTTGTGGGTTCTTGAGCCTATTCTCTATTTACCCTGCAGAGGTTCAAATATCTGCTTAGTTCCTGTAGCTCACTGCTGTGAATATCCCAAGCTTTATTTGATGAACACCAGGCAGAATAAAAGATATTCGAAACATTACTGTATACCCAGTGCTTTCATGCAGTTTTAAAGAAAACACAAGCTCGCACATTTCCCTCATGAGGAAATTTAGATTAACAATCTGGTTAATGTTTGGCTCAGGTGGAAACGTCCAACGAGTTTCAAGTGTGTCATGAGGCTCTTGGAGCTACAAAAAGTAAACATCTTGGGTTTACTGAAAGTCACCCACAGCCGGAAACTCGTCACTGTGAAATAAAACTGGGGCAATGGTTCACTATTGATTTAACAAATGAGTCATCCGTGCTGCAGACTTCCTGCAGCATCCACACTGAGCAGCTCCACTGAAACACCCGGGCAGGAGCATGTGTGCGGTGGGATCCGTCTCAGCCACAGCTGGAAGCATCTTAATTTGGGGCTAATGAAGCTCTGGAGGTTTTGTCTTCACTGGGACTTGCTGGTTGTGGCAGTGCCAGCACAGATGGAGCTGCTTCCCTGGGCTGGATTAATGTTTGCTGTGAGAGCGAGTGGAGGTGCTGAGTGAAAAATAAAGGTGGCTGGGGAAATCTCTGAGGTGCTGTCACTGTGGCAGCAGAAGCGTGGTGAGGAGCTGAGGAGGATTTGGGTAACGCAGCTCCCTGGGAACATGAGGGAAGCTGGGATTTGTTGCAGTCAGAGGAAGTTGAATAATCCAGACAGAGCAGACACTGGCACAGCAGAAAACCCCTGCCCGTGCTGAGTACAGGTTCTGAGAGGGTGCAGTGGAGCTGAGGTCACCGAGGCTGTCACCACGAGCAGGGTGGGTTTGGAAGCACTGCCCTGTTCCAGTGGTGTTTGGGGGCTCTGCCTCTGGAACTGGGTCTGTAACCTGGAGGGCTGCAGGCCATGAAGGGTGGGCACAGCATGATCCTGGAGGCACCTAAAATATCCCAGTCTGCCCTTGAGTAACTGAGGTCAATGCAGTGTCACATGCTTAGGAGTCACAAATGTTACATACATTGAGAGCTTTGAAAAGAAAGAGGGTTTAAAAATCATGATTTGAAGGAATGAAGTAGCTCCTGTTGAGGGAATCTCGGGTGGTGATGATAAAAGATTGAGACAGAACCTCAGGATTCAGTCTGTGCTGTGTCTTCAGGACGTGGCAGGAACTCCAGGGCCTCTGTCTACGTTGGGGTTAGCACAGCTCTGGGAACATCTCCTTTCCTCCCACTGCAGGAGAGGAAACCAGCCCAGGGCTCTAAAGCTGGACAGTGAAACACACAACTTTGCAAGCTGGACTTTGTGGTGTTTGGGGTATTTCTCCCGTTGATTTAAAAAATACCCTGGTGATCCTGCTCGGCCTCCGAATGACTCAGTTTGTTTCGGTGGAGCAGCTCCTGCACAAATACAGGAATGGCTTATCACTGACATTTCCTGCTCCCCAGGCTGAATGTGTCAGCCTGACCCCAAAACCAGCTCTGAAAGACAAGATGTTTTTTTAATTATCTCAGAGATAGCAGGGACAAACAGCCAGACCTTGTGTCATTCTTGATCTGAATTGAAAAGTACACGCTGTTGTGTTCCCCAGACAAGAGAGCAGAACATTTGCACACTGCAAAATGCTCTTTCTTAATCCCACTGACATGTCCTGGCTGGAAAACATCCACACTCTGGGGTGAGATTGTGTTTGAGCAGAAACAAACACACCAGAGATAGAAACAAATCAAAAATCTGCTGATGTGCATTGTAGGAGAGTTGTTTATTAATGAGTGGAGTTTCAAGGCTTACAGCAGATATTGTTGTCTTCCATTTAAAGACAAAAAAAAAAACTGCTATAAGGACCTCAGCCATAATGTTGTGCCAAGAAATCCAAAGCAAAGGGAGGAAAACAAATTAATTTCAGCTTGCTTTGTGCAAACATACAATAAAGAATAGGGACAAAGGTCTGGGCTTGGATATGTCAACACATCTTGTATATTAAAATATATGCTGGCTTTTTTAATGACTTCACAATGAATACAAACTTCATTTTAGAGTCTTTACCTTGTTGTGGGTTGGGTCACAGCCCAGTAACACCAGGTCAGTAAGAAAACAGTTTTGCTTTAGGGATAAAGCAGAAATGCATAATTTTCCCCTTCTATAGCAAAAAAATGCAGGGTAACTCAATGAACCCAGGGTCTTTACTTCAAAATAAAAACTCTGAATGATCACGTGTTGTTTTTAAGTACTGCTCTGACTTGGTGGGGCTGGAACTGAGCTAGTTGTTTTGTTTTCTTTGAAACTTCCTTTTTTTGGTCTTTAATGTGGTGTACAGTGCTCGCCTGGCCCCTCAGTAGTGGGCAGGGAACACTCTTACATGTGCAAATTTCTTATGTATAACTAATTTTCTTTCATCCTACACATGGTAAAGGCCAAATCTGTGAGTTTTTCCTTCAAAATGATCCTTTGAGGCAAAATAAGAAAATGTGAATATAAACACAGACTGCAGCCAGTGCCAGGGGCTGTGCATACCCACAGTGCTGGTTTAAACCTGGACAAGCTTTTCCCTGTATTTTGACCTGAAACATCTCACTACGTTGTTTTCAATACTTTAAATTTAAACATTAAATAGTTTAATTAAAGGCAGGCATGGAGAATGGGCTCAACAAACCCGAGACCCTTCATTTGACATCAGCTTTGCGGGGATCTCTGGGGGGGCTGAATTTTACTCTTTGTTCACTGAATCCCCTCTCTCGACGCCCCTCGCTTGCACAGCCGGGTGTTTTGTGCCTTTTTGCTTTTTTTTTTTTTTGTTGTTGTTGTTAATTATCTCACCTCTTTGAAGCCCCCAGCGGCAGCTGGTGCGGGCGTTCCTCACTTTTTTTGTTGTGCTAATTCGCGGGCGAGGCGATGTTGGCAGCCTGTTCGGGGGGCTGTGGAGAGGGGCCGGGGGAACCGCGGGCGGTGCCGTCGACG